TTGAAAAAATTTAAATCCATCACCTAGAAATTTATAATGAAAACTCAGCATTGGGAGTACAAACACATCATTTTATAAAACATCAAAACAAAGGCTCATCTACTTTTCATTTTGCAGAAATCCTTTTAACACAAAACACCTTACTTAGAGCATAGCATTTCTAAAGACAGCCATAGGGTTGACATTTAGTCTTTACTAAAGGCCATTTCTTTTCCTGAAATTATGTCTTTTACCATCAATAGATCTTAAATGTAAAAGCAAGAATTAGATCATATTCTGCTGCAAATGTATGTAAATCAATCATACTTGTAGGTCTTTTCCTATTAATACAGAAATTATCTATAAATCATTCTGAATGGACATAGATACATGAAAGCATCTTTGGTCCTTAAAAGACAGGAGGCCCATGAATCCAGAGGGGTTTCACGAATCTGAGTCAGAAGGAAGTTAACACAGTTAAGGTAAAAGGCAGTAGGTCCAGAGCTGGGAGGTCAAAGGCTCTGCACTAGCATGGACCCAAAGGCATAAATTTAAAAGATTCAGCTCTAATCATCACCGAAGGAAAAGAAAAGAGGCATTTTCCTAGGAGGGGACAAATATAGGATCAGCAGGAGTCCAGCTACCTCCTCACACACACAATGCAAACAGTTGCCAGGCCAGAAAGGGTCACAGGAAGGCATTAAAGAGAAAGCCAAGGAGCCTGAGAAAGATTGGCGTCATTCTTATCCTATTTACTTAATTTCTGTCCCAAACCACAGGCTCCTTAAATGTTTTTGTGCCAAAATTCTGACACTGGCTTTCTTTTCCATTCCCTTTTACCCATGCATCTCAAGGAGGGCACACCTGGCATCTGGACAGGACAATTCATGAGTGTCTGGGTGAGTCCTACCAACAGTAGGGTGCCTGGCACTTCTGTCCCCACCTTCAAATGCCAGGAGAGTCTCCAAGTCACTGGGGCAATCAAAAATACATTTCCAAATGCCCCTAGTTGGTAAATACAACCACCTCCACCACTTGAAAACCAACTGTTACAAGCTCCAGCATCTCATTTAAACCCACAGTGTGGAGAACTAACTCAAATCTACATCTCTAGTCAAGATTTTTCTGGAGTTCTAATCCGTTTTTCTCCTTCCAAGTTGACATTCTCCCCTCATGCTCCACTGTCACTTCAAAACTGGTCCCAACTGAATTCCTTATCTCCCTAAGCCCCAACCTGTTTGCCTTATATCCTAGCTAATACAACCACTGTCCACAGTCAACCGGGCAGACACCTGTGGGAGGCAAACAAAACTCCTCTTTCTCACCAAGTCCTCAAGACTCCATGTCCCAAGTATCTCACAAGTCCTTCATAGGACCCCTCTGTTTCCCATCATGTCCAGCTGTATTACTGCAGTGGCCTCAAACCTTCCACCATCTTTACATCCTCTCTAATGCAAACACCATACTGTCATCTCCTGGGCCACCCTGGCCGTCCCCTACCAGATCACTCCATGTTTCCACACAGCCTTCAGGAAACTTTGAAAACTCCTCAGCTGCGCACACAAAGGCCTTCACCATCTGCTCTCACCCTCACCAGGGACCCTTCAGACCATAACCTCCAGCATGACCCAGGCCTATCCATACAGATGTGCCACCAGCTACTGATGATCCTTGGAGACCAAGAGACACTGGGTGGATGCCAGCAGAAATGCTCTAGAACCCAGGCATCTTGCAGAATAGGAGGCTCCACAAGTGATGACTGAAATGAGCAATTCTTTACAAAACAAAGAACTTAGTAGGGAAATGCCACTGATAAGCACTCACACCCAGAATTGGAATGATCTTGTCCCTGCCTGCTTTCATATAACATCTTCTTACACAGAAAGGCTTCTTAGTGTTATTTATCGGCAAGCAGTGAAGAACCTGAGCCACTATTGAATTCACAAAGCTTGTTCTGACCTCAACTGTAGCTACAATTTTTCATGAAAGTACAACAATGAAGATAGTCTTGATTATGCCACACTGAGCAACGCCATGCTTCATCAGTAATCACTAATTTGAACACCAGTCATTTGCTTTATTCAACATTTTATTTAGTATTTCCTTAGGACTGGAAACTCTTTCATGGGTAGCACATCAAGTAGTTATCACATTAAATTTTTTTTTTATTTTTTTATTTTATTTTTTTTTTTTTTTTAATTTTTTCAACATTTATTTATTTTTGGGACAGAGAGAGACAGAGCATGAATGGGGGAGGGGCAGAAAGAGAGGGAGACACAGAATCGGAAGCAGGCTCCAGGCTCTGAGCCATCAGCCCAGAGCCTGACACGGGGCTCGAACTCACGGACCGCGAGATCGTGACCTGGCTGAAGTCGGACGCTTAACCGACTGCGCCACCCAGGCGCCCCTAAATTTTTTTTTTTAATGTTTATTTTTGAGACAGAGAGAGATAGAGCATGAGCGGGGGAGGAGCAGAGAGAGAGGGAGACACAGAATCTGAAGCAGGCTCCAGGCTCTGAGCTGTCACCACAGAGCCCAAGATGGGGCCTGAACCCATAAACCATGAGATCATGACCTGAGCCAAAGTCAGATGCTCAATAGGCTGAGCCACCCAGGTGCCCGAGAAATGAAAACTTTTTAATGAAATCATAAAAGATTTCAATTTTTTAAAAGATTGAAATTAAAATCACAAAATTGTAATCTATAACTTAAACAAAATGACTTACTTATTTCATGGTTAACCAGCTATAGATTTTTTTTTTTCCCCATTTAATAAATAAGAAATGAGGGGAGAAGGTTTAGCAACCTGTTCAAGGTTAACCAACTACCAAAAGGAAAGGCAACTGCTGGAGCCCAGGACCCTGGTGAACTACCCTGATAAGCAAGCAGTGCTTTGGGAGCCCAAAGAAGGTAAGGACACAAAGCATCCTCTGCCCAAGAACTGTTGCTGTCTACAACAGAATTTACTAAAGGCTTTCTCTGGAGTCATTTATACACTGCAAGAAGCTGACTGATGCCCACACAAGTCAAAGAACAATTCCACAGAAGAATAAAAACATGCCACTGTGGTTTTCAGAAAACATATTCTCATTGAAATCATGACTTACATTTTATAGTTATCAAAACAGTATTAATTCTTGATAGCTGTGTATCTAAAACAGAGCTCTGGTTTTATAGATCAACCAAAATACACGTTAAAATGAAGGAGACTCACTTTGAAATGTGAATACCTTTCAAATAGGGACACACCATCTAAGGCTCTTGTTCTGACTCTTCACTGAAGGAGAAAAGAGATGTCCCTTTCTCTTACCAAAACTGCTAAGACTACCAAGAGGACCAATGGGCTGAACACAAGCAACAACCCCACGTCTAAACAAGGATTTCCAAGCCGTGGTGCATGCCCGCACCCACACACCACGGGCCCACTGCCTCCTCAAAACACGTTCTTTTTAAGTATCCACATCAGTATCAAGATTACCAAGATCTTTTCCTGTGGCAGAATTTGGATTCTGAAGTTGTGTCACTTCCATGAAATTTTGAAGATCTCATGGATCTGACCACAAACTCCAGCACTCTGAAGTAGCCTCAATTCATAGGCTTACGTGTTCAACATGAATGGTCAATCTTGTAAGTTCAAAAGGAAGATCTACTTGCACACAGTGAAGGTGCCAGTGGGCATGAGCATGTTATCATTACTGTCTGCTTGGCTCTACCCTAACGTAACAAATAAACAATGTCCAGATTCACAAGAATACTCCCTACCTAGGACAGATCCGGTTTTTGTGGGTAGTAAAGCAGGTACAACACATAGGCACAAAAATTAGAAAAATAAATAGGCACGGGGCACCTGACTGGCTCAGTTGGTTAGGTGTCTGACTCTTGATTTCGCCTCGGGTCATGATCTCACAGTTTGTGGGATTGAGCCCCGTATCGGGCTCTGTTCTGACAGCGCAGAGCCTGCCTGGGATTCTTTCTCTGTCTCTTTCTCTCTCTGCCCCTCTCCCACTCTTTCTCTCAAAATAAATAAACTTTTAAAAAAAAAAATTTTTTTTTTAATGTTTATTTATTTTTGAGACAGAGAGAGACAGAGCATGAACAGGGGAGGAGCAGAGAGAGAAAGAGAGACAGAATCTGAAACAGGCTCCAGGCTCTGAGCTGTCAGCACAGAGCCTGACGCAGGGCTCGAACTCACAGACCATGAGATCATGACCTGAGCTGAAGTCAGACTCTTAACCGACCAAGCCACCCAGGCGCGCCTAAATAAACTTTAAAAAAAAAAAAGAAAAAAAAAAACAGGCACAAAAGCAAATAATTAATTAAAGCTTAAAGCTTAAGCTTCATTAATTAGAGGGTAAACCCACCTTTGACCCAACTATATAAAATTGCCAATATTCAACCATTTTGACCTAGCAAATTAGCAACTCAGGATGGCTCAGCTTAGCCCACTGCTGGCACATGGCTCCAGTACAGGCTCTGTAGTTCACTCAAAAGAATACAAGAGCTCATCACTGGTATACAAGCTGAGATTCCTACACTCACTAAAACTAATAATGGAAACTCCTCTAATAGTATTTATGGAATCTTAAATAGGGAAAACCTAAAGAAACCAGCAGGTCACTGTGACTACATTTTCAAAATAATAATTACATATATGAACAAAAAATGTGAAAATGTAGACAAAAATAACGTTTGTATTTGACTAGTATGACTGTGAGTCATTTTCTCCTGCACAACTAAAAGTTGTTCTATTATTGGTATAATTTAAAAGGAAGAATAAAAGGACAAGTGTGAGGAGAACAGGGAGGGACAGAGGAGTGAGAGACAACTCATTATGCACTTGGCATCCATCTAGACATCAACAACCTGAAACATACCTTAAAATTTATTTCAAGGCATAAAGATAAAAGCCAATTAACTCCATGAGATACCTCATACTTCTAAAGGTCTTGTTTGAGGTAACACAGATGTTCGTTAGTAAGGAATGTCTTGGCCTGACTAAAGGCCAACTAAGGTGAACTTACTTTTTGCTTGCCTCACACACATCCATAATGTTGGAGAAAAGATGGTGACTCTCTGTTTTGGTCATCGTATCACTCAGTTCTTTAGAATTTTTAAACATTCGTATCAAGATCTCCAAGCTGAGTAAATATGAGTGTTCAGAGGATATGACTTCAAAGATAGCCTGGTAAAGAGGGGAAAAGAAAGACATCATTAGTTCTTATAATTGAAGAACTAAAACAAGTTCTCATAACTCTCCCATAAAAAAGACCTATCTTGAAAAGCAAAAAAAGATAAGCATTAAGGAAAACGCATCACCTAACTACTGACTTCATGTAAAGCATGAACATCCAAACCTCAAGAAATAGAGTCACTGTAAAAATGAAAATGAAAATGAAAATGAAAAAGTGGAAGCACTGGGATGACTTGAGATTGCATCCTGAGGTCATGCTTTGCCAAGGGGTGGAATCTATGGAAGAAAGCTAGGGCCTGTCATAAAATCTCAGTGTGACATTAATTACCCTTTGGGGTCATCTCCTACAGCCCTGTTTTCAAAGTAGACTGCTCTGGGACAGTAAGGATTTATAGACATCACTTGAGATTCAGAGAAAATTTCTTACAAATACATTTCTTTGCTCTCCTCTTGTGTGGGCCCTTTCTCTCCCCATGTTTCAGTCTAACAAATTTGCAGTCAATAACAGCAAAGAGTCTGGGTGTATTAAAAGAGCAGGACTGTATTCACCCTTAAAAGGTTTTTATCAGCCACAGGAATTCTTTTATATTAAACTCATACAACTGAAAGTAATTCTGTTTATTCAACAAGCCACCCTCTCTGCTCTCGTCAATATCTCAAGAAGGAGCGAAGGACTGTCTGCAGAAATGGTTGGTGTCAGGCACACAATGGTTACCTGGTAAGTGTTCATAATGATGAAAAGCCAGCCCACATAAGTGAATAGGCACCTACACCCTGTGTAAGGAATTCATCTAGCTCCTTAACAAAAATCACTTCAGGGGCTCCTGGGTGGCTCAGTCGGTTAAGCGTCTGACTTCGGCTCAGGTCATGATCTCGTGGTCTGTGGGTTCAAGCCCCGCATCGGGCTCTGTGCTGACAGCTTAGAGCCTGGAGCCTGCTTCACATTCTGTGTGTGTCTCTCTCTCTCTCCCTGCACCTCCCCTGCTCATGCTCTCTCTCTCTCTCTCTCTCTCTTACACACACAAAAACAAATAACATTTAAAAAACAAAAACAAAAAAAACAAAAACCACTTCAGATCCTCCAAGAATCACAATATAGGGATTCTTCCTGAGGTAGGGTGGTAAACATCCTTGCAGGCTTGAGATGTGCATCCTTCCCGGAGATCTCCCTGGTAACACTGACATCATTGCCTTGACCTCCAGGGCTCCTCCCCACCTCCCCTCAAGCCCTTGACCCAAAAGGCACAGGAGATTCTTCCCATAAGGCCCTGTGCTGTGGCTGAGACTAGGTGGGAGCAGCTGGGCCATATTTTGTAAGTCAGCTTTGTGGTGCTGGTCTCAACGTTCGCCTCCCTTTTCAGCATCTATAAGCTTTAAAGGAAGTCTTACTTAAAGGTGTTGGTCTAGCCTCAGCTGTGCTCCAGGCACTTAAGTGAGGATATTAAGAGTCTCACTTGACCTGAATCTTGTATAATTCTATTCAGTCAATACAATTATCCTTAGGAAATGCAATGCAGACTGAAGAAAATTGTCACTTCCTGACCAAAAATAGTGGATTTCAGGTTGTTCATAGATATGGTAACTTGGAATGACAAAATATTTTCAAAAGCAAAAGCTTTTGTAATCAAATGCAAAATACTAAGATTTGAACAAAAATATGACATGAACGATATAGAATAGATCACGTGAAAAGATGAGTAAGTGGTAGTTTAATATAACAGATTTAATATAATAACTGCTAAAACATCCTGCAATAGAGCCATCAACTACTTAAAAGAAAATTGGGTTAAACTTTCTAAAAATAGCCATATAGGAACAGAAAGAAACCATAAAGTTAGATTTATTGCCATCACTAGTTTTTTATATCACAAATCTGAATATTTTCAAAATATAGGGGAAAGAAATAGGGTTAAATAGGAAAGGTTTAAAAGAACACAAATGTTCAAATCAAATGGGCTTAGGACCCTAGAGTAGCTCTTGAATTTGTCCACAAAGAAACACTGTTTATGTTGCGATAAAGAAAAAAAAAAAAAAAATATCACCTACTGTCCAAAATTTGGACAATAGCTTTTTTTTTAAAGGTGGAATTTAGAAAATGGACTACAGGGGCGCCTGGGTGGCGCAGTCGGTTAAGCGTCCGACTTCAGCCAGGTCACGATCTTGCGGTCCGTGAGTTCGAGCCCCGCGTCAGGCTCTGGGCTGATGGCTCAGAGCCTGGAGCCTGTTTCCGATTCTGTGTCTCCCTCTCTCTCTGCCCCTCCCCTGTTCATGCTCTGTCTCTCTCTGTCCCAAAAATAAATAAACGTTGAAAAAAAAAAAATTTTTTTAGAAAATGGACTACATACATATTAATACTACATTAATATATATTAACCTACATAAATCCCAAATATAGTGCTGGATGTCAAAAGCAAACAAAAAACATGTTCAGAATAAGCATGTATCTACATTTTAACACACACACATGCACCCAAATGCATGTACATAAATATATGTAATACATGACTTAAAAACACAATTTGGATAGATACACATCATTTCATAATTACAGTTGCCTCTGGGGAGGAGAGGAAGAAAATGACAACTGAGGAGAAAAGGAACTCTACTTTATTGAAAGTCTTGTTGTCTTTAAAAAATATGAGTAAAAAGTATAAATGTAATATATTTGTTAATTCTCAGTGATGGGTACACCAATGTTATATACTATTCTTAAACTTAAAAAAAAAAATGGCACTATAATGTACCCGTGTATTTTTGTGTTATTTATGCCCATGAAACAAAAATACAGTGCATGTCCTTTGTGCAATATTTGTGTGTGTATATGTATACACACATATATACATAAACATATATATACATGTTAATATGCATAAAACAAGAGAAAAGTGTTTTGAGAACTTCACAATATTATTACAATGAGTAATTTCCTTAAACTACATTTATTTAAACTTCAAGTTGTAAAATGCTATTACTATCAGTTTTATTTTTTATTAAGTAAACCTTTATTTTGGTACAAATTTAATTTCTAGAAATCTTGTATAGAGGGTTCAGAGTTCCTGTATTTCCTTCATCCAGCTTCCCCTAGCCAGGGCACATGACACAGCGAGGGTACATTACATTTTAACCGTAGACAAATTTATGTACTTTACTCAGATTTCATCAGTTTTCCCACCAACATCCTTTTTCAATTCCAGGACCTAACATCTCATTCATTTTTCAACATATTTCTTTCAGTTTAAATATCTCTACTAGGTGCTTTGTTATTTAAGTTAAAATGACATTAAGGTATTTTAAAGTTTTCTTTTCTGGGTGCTTACGTGGAGCTTTATTTGACAACGATCACATACCCCCTATGTTAAAAGAACAAAACGAATACGTTTTCGAAGGAAAACACTGAACCAGTGCACACAGTAGATGAAAGCACACACATTCCTTGGAGCTCTAAAAAGTATCTGCTTGGGGTACCTGGGTGGCTCAGTCAGTTAAGCATCCAACTCTTGATTTCAGCTCAGGTCATGACCTCATGGTTCATGAGTTTGAGCCCTGCATCCAGCTTTGCACTGGCAGTATGGAGCCTGCTTGGAATTCTCTCTCTCTCTCTGTCTCTCTCTCGCTCTCTCTCCCTCTCTCTCTACCCCTCCCCTACTCACACGGTCTGTCTCTCGAAATAAATTTAAAAACTTAACAAATATATCAAAAATATAAATAAAAGTATCTGCCAGTAGAAAACATACCTCCTGTCTCTTTCTTTCCTCCTGGCTAACTGTCTGTGATAATCCATTTCTTTTCACCTAGAGGAAAAAGCAAAAGAAAGTTGGGCTCATTAACTTTAACAATTTGTCACGTAAGGCATAACTCCACACCCTTCAAGAAATGAACTATAGGAAACTATGCAAGACATGTGAATTAAGCACATATTAATTTCTGGGTCCCTCATGTAATATTGAATCATATTAATAAACTAGCATTAACACAAAATAACTGCAAAGCGTCTAGAACACTCTCCTATCAGGTTGCATTAATCTGCTCTAGTCTTAGGTCTACATATTCCTAAAATACTTCTCAAATTAACTTCACAAATCATAAGTGAAGAAACCTAACAATAAAGAAAGTGAAGCCATCCCTCAAAAGTTTACTGCCCAAGACCGCACACTTAAAAAGTAACTTTAATTCTGTATTTCACCAAGACTCCACAGAATACCCGTGCTCTTCATAGAAACCCAATCAAACAGGAAAACAAAGTCCTCTCTGTCCGAATTTCACATATTTAAATTTGCCAAATAAGGATGTTAGCCTGATGTTCTTTGGACAAGCAACAGTACCCACAAGGGCCATGAACGCCAGTCTCATACTGGGAGTAACGCAGTTGCAGCGTTAGGTAAATCACTGCAGTCCCTACCTAAATTACAACCCATTTTTATTTGATTACTGCAGATTCTATCATAATTCGGTTTCTAAACCAAAGAGTAGAGGCTGAACTAAGAACTCCATGAAGGCGGGGCCTGGTGTGTTTTCTGCTACACCTGACACTGAGTCTGGCACAGGAAAGATACTCGTGTTTTTCAGCTGAAGATTAAATTAGCAAAAGAGGGGCGCCTGGGTGACTCAGTCGGTTAAGCGGCCGACTTCAGCCCGGGTCACGATCTCACGGTCCCTGAGTTCAAGCCCCGCGTCGGGCTCTGTGCTGATGGCTCGGAGCCTGGAGCCTGCTTCCGATTCTGTGTCTCCCTCTCTCTCTGCCCCTCCCCCGTTCATGCTCTGTCTCTCTCTGTCTCAAAAATAAATAAACGTTAAAAAAAAAAATTAAAAAAATAAATAAATTAGCAAACGGTCAGGCATACATACAAGTTGACCAATTAAATTCTGTGCTTAAGAGAAAGAAGGACCGCAAGAAAGGTGAGTGCCCTCCCCTTTTCTGAGAAACTAATAGCAATAAAATATTAACACAGGTCTTCAAACATTTTTGTTTTCATACTTCCTAATAAAGTTTTCTTAACCATGTTCCCCTAGATCATTCTTAAGTCGACATCTCAAAGTTTTCGTTGTGTATTTAAAGAATTAAAAAGATGGGGCACCTGGGTGTCTCAGTCGGTTAAGCATCCAACCTGATTTCAGTTCAGGTTCATGAGATCAAGTCCCACACTGGGCTCCATGCTGACAGTGTGGAGCCTGCTTGGGATTCTCTCTCTCCCTCTGTCCTTTGCCCCTCCCTCACTCACATGCTCTCTCTCTCTCTCTCTCTCTCAAAATAAATAAACATTTATAAAATAAGAATTAAAAGATATCGTTTTCTGCTAATTGTAAATCTAGACATTTTAAAACCCGTTGCCTACACTGTTTTCAATGTATCCAGTGGAATATAAAAAATATAATGATGTGATATCCACCACCATCCATTTAAAGATAAATATACTTTCCATAACAACTGGAGATTATTCTTCTTTCTCCATAAAAATCACATTTCTATGTCAATTTCCCTCCCAAATTTCCTAATGTAATTCTATGTGTTAGGGTAGCTGAGGAATTACCCTAGTATACTTTGATGCAAAAGTACACTTTTACATTTAATTTTCTAAAATATCTTCTGACCAATGAGTTTTAAGTATAAAAGACCCTCTCCTGGATTATATAATCACCACAATTATCATTAATAACCTATGATCAAAATAACACAATCACTTCCAACTTTAATGCATTAGACCCTAAAAATGAATTTTACTGAGAATGCAACCCTTAGTAAGGTGGCGACTTTATGGTGGCTTCATTAAAAGAGGCTTCCCTAAAACCAATATTCTAAAAAAAATTGTTTTTTAATGTTTATTGATTTTTTAGAGACAGAGAGAGCACGAGCAGGGGAGGGGAAGACAGAGAGGGCAACACAGAATCCAAAGCAAGTTCCAGGCTCTGAGCCTTCAGCACAGAGCCCAACGTGGGGCTTGAACTCACTGTAACCATGAGATAATGACCTGAGCCAAAGTCAGAGGCTTAACCGACTGAGCCACCCAGGCGCCCCTAAAACCAGTATTCTAAATTGACCCCCTGCATCTTGCGCCCCAGTGGTCTGACACATTGGAACAAGGCACCACCCTAAGATAGGAGATGGAAAAGAGAGACACCTTTCTTTAGTAAAAATGCAAAAGGGTAACTGTAAGAGAGGAAACCAGGAAAAAACCCTGGGGTAACACTGTGCACATGCAGTCTCAGTGTTAGAAAGGAGGATAGCTGGAACTTAAAGATCTGGAAAATGGTATCCCTGTCCACTCTGCAGAGTCTCCATGAACCCCTGCTGGCACAAGCCCTGTGTGAAGGCCGCTGGTGCACAGTGCCCTACATGGTGCTGCCGTGGAAATGAAGACAATCACATGTCACAGTCTCCAACCTGACTTTTGGAAAAAGACAAAAAACAGTACAGTCGTGTAGAAAGAGTCTTAAATCAATAATGGTAAAGGTAGCAATCACTGACTGAACATTTATTGTGTGCCTGGAAGTGTGGAAATAAGCACTTTATACCTCTGTTCCCATTGAATCCTCATAAAAACTCAAGAAAGTCAATACTATTCTTATCTCCAATTCAGGTTTAAGATCTGAGATCACATAGCCAACAGGTAGCAAGGCCAGGATCTGCCTTCATGCCTGTCTAACTCCAGAGCTCATGCTCTCCATCATGATATTATATGGCTGAGGGACTCCTGCTCTCTGCGAGAGGCACCTCTTTTCTAGTGTTGGGCAATCATTACTAAGACTCCTTCTAATGCCAGGTCTGTAGCAAGTCTCCATATGTTCTTTTTCATCCACCCATACTGTGGAATGTTCTTAGCCTTACCCACCATCCTGACCCTGGGTCAGCCTGTCAGCAAGAATTCATGGCTAAAAAGGCTTCTTCATCCATTTTATAAGGGAGGAGACTGGCCAGAAGAATGAAACCGTTCAGCACTGCTCCCATTTGGTTAACCCTGAGCAGGAATTTCACAGGATTTCCTTCCTGACACACAGTCCTGGCAGATCGATATCCAGGCACCATGCCCACAATCTCTGCAGGTGAGATCACCAGAATCGCCATGCACTGGCATCCCTGTCCAAAATTATTAGTGAGTTCAGACCAAGAAATCTTAAGAGAAAGAGAGTGAACCACATGGGCGTTGAGACCCATACTGATGACAGCTAGTTTACTGAGGGATTAACAGTACTTCATCCTATCAAAAAGAAAAGAAAAAAAGATCCCTAGCTAAAATAGTTTTTCTTTAGAGGGGGAAGAAAGGTAGTGTTGAAAAGGCAAAGTGCTAACTCCCAGAATTATCATATTTCATTAATACTAATACAAACAATGATAAAATACTCCTTTAACAAAAAGTCATCAGTAAGAAACCAGCAACCCATACAAAACCACAGAGAAGAAAGAAAGAAAGAAAGAAAGAAAGAAAGAAAGAGAGAGAGAGAGAGAGAGAGAGAGAGAGAGAGAGAAAGAAAGAAAGAAAGAAAGAAAGAAAGAAAGAAAGAAAGAAAGAAAGAAAGAAGATTCTAGGGGAGTGTTCTTGGGTCATAATTAAGAAATCTGAAGTGCAGCATATTGGAGAAGCCTGAAAGTTTACTCTAGAGAGTTATGACAGACCAAGCCCTCCTGGCTGGCTGCCAGACCACTGCTCTGGGGCCTGCCCTCCTATCCCAGCCCTTCTCTGTTCAGGGCAGGCTAGACAGCTTCTCCCTCCAGAGCCAAGAGGAATCATTTTGTCCACCTGAGACCTCTTTCTACATTCAACTCTAAATTAAGTAGTACCTGAGAGCAGATTCCTGGATGCAGAAGGTCATGAACAGGCCAGGTGCTTTCAGAGACTAAGGAGTGTGGAGAGATGTAACCAGACAAAGAGAGGGAGAGAATGATATCAAAGGAGGCCCCATGGAGACTAGCAAAAGGCAGAGTACAGAATATTAGGGTAGAATGAACACACTAGAGCAAAAGATCAAGCAGAAAGAAACAAGGAAGGAAAGGAGGGGTGGAGAGTAGAAAAGGAAGGGAAATAAGGAGAATATGAATATTAAATACCTCTAGAAATTTTCTAATTCAAAAACAGCAACCTTATCAGTAAACCTAAGTAAACTCACTGAAATGCTCAGCCTATTTTTCCCCCCCAAGGGAAAAAAAAATGCATAGAAAACATATATTTATACCTATAGGTTTTTTTTTTAATTTTTTTTAACGTTTATTTATTTTTGGGACAGAGAGAGACAAAGCATGAATGGGGGAGGGGCAGAGAGAGAGGGAGACACAGAATCAGAAACAGGCTCCAGGCTCTGAGACATCAGCCCAGAGCCCGACGTGGGGCTCGAACTCACAGACCGCGAGATCGTGACCTGAGCCGAAGTCGGACGCCCAACCAACTGAGCCACCCAGGCACCCCTATACCTACAGTTTTTTAAATTGACCTGTTTTTTGCAGTTTGCACATTTGTGCTAAGAGAATCTGAAATATTATCAAGTTCATCATGTTTCTTCAAGTGTTCCTCATTTCCATGTGTAGAAAAGAAAAAAAAAATAGTATAGCAGCCTCCAACACCTGATTCCTCTGTGCTATCCTAAATGAAAAAAGAATTAAAATTGTACAGGCCTCTTCTATATTTTAACCTATATCTCGTACTGGTAGTTCTGGCTGAGTACAACTGGGAACACACAGACAGCAAAAGCAACACTCCTCTAAATATGTGACTTCATTCGAGCTTTCTTACTCCTCACTGATTTAAAATTTTTAATTTAACTATGTCATCAGTAAATAAAACTGAAAAAGTAGTTTAATGAA